TCAGTGGCAGAGCACTTGCCTAGCATCTGTGAGGCACTGGGTTTGATTCTCAGCACCACATATAAGTAAATGAATAAGGTCCATCAACATGTTTTAAAAAAAAAAAAACAAACCACCAATTCCCCAAACCCAACAGTTCCCAAAATTACAGACCTGCACTTTCTATCCCTGCTTCTACTATGACTCCGACTCCTCTTCTTCCTGTGAAAGAGCAGAAATTCTTACTACTGAGAAAGTTTTATTATCTTTCCCAAGGAAAAAGAATGAGAGTAAGGACAGAGTGAAACAGAAAGCACCAAAAGACCAAAGCCCAGAAAATGATCTGGCAGTAGTTCACAGTAACTGCACAACACCAACTTACACAGAGCCCTGAATGCTGTCAGTCATCTGAAGTGGCCAATTTCCCCCCAAAGCCAAGCAAAAGCTGGTGTTTCCAAATCAGGGGTCCTCTTGCTATTTTATTCAAATGAAATATATCGATGCTAGGACTGATCCACAAATCTACACTGTAAAGTGAACACTAGAAGATCATTAAACCAACTCACCAATGTTCCCATGACCCAGTGGAGCCATTACTAAATGTCAGCAGTCTTAAGAGCCACCGCCTCCCTATTCTGGCTGTTTCTCCAATGGATGCCGTTGTCTCCCTTCCCCAAGTTGCCAACCCGTTTCTTCACCCCACACTCACTTGCTTGTCTCCCCAGTGGTGGTGCTCACACTGGTACCACTGCCACTGTTGCCGGTGTTGCTGGTGGTATTGCTAGGACTGTCCTTTTTAACCTCTTTCCTTTGCTGCTCATCCTGAGGAGTTCGCCAGGAAAATATCACAAGGTACAAGGTGGCAGACACACAGATTCCATTGGGCAAAAAGAACAAAGGTGGACAAGGAAGAAATCAAAAGCTCTCAATTATCTAGCCAGTTTTGGAGCACCTGGATCTCCTAACAAGGGGAATAATAGAGGAAGCGAGGAAACTACCAAAAAGGAAGAGATCAGAATGACAGGCTTTGATGTCAAATGTCAGCTACCTAACATCTGTTTCACTGATATTATGTCCCAGGAGAGTGAGAAACTGGCGCTGGTCTGAGGTTCACTGACTTTCTACTGTCACTGAGAGTTACCAGCAAAGCACATGATACCACCACCACATTATGTGCCCACCCCTGGCTTTCAGGGTCCTCTCTAAAAGAATGGTCCTTGAGTACAGGTCCCCAGCAAAGATTACGAAAGACTATGCCTTTTAAGAATAGTCACTGAGCATAATAAACAAGCAGGGAAAGAAGATTCACAAAATGTTTCAACTGATGATCCACAACTGCTCTTTCTTATTAACCCAATTCCAGGAGTGAGGTGGGGAATATTACCTCCTCTTTTTTATAGGGAGCTTCCAGCATGGCCTCAATCACTATATCAAAGTCATCAGATGCCATCGTGTCAGATCTGAGGAGAAGATATTAAAACATAAAAATCTGATTTATATTTTTCCTTCCCTTCTAGCACCACATTCCTTTCCCTCCAAGAAACAGACTTCAGGCATACAGTTTTTTTTTTTTCTTAAAAATTTAAAAGGATCTTACCAGCTATTGTTTATTCTACATTTATTTTTACATCCTACCGATCTATACTAGTTATGCTTTGTGGCTTAGAAACAGTCAAGGGTCTACCACTATGTTAAGGAAAATAAGTCAAATTCAGAAGGCTAAAGGTCATATATTTTCTCTCATACTGGGGAAAAAGGAAAAGAAAGGTAGGGGCGGATCTCTTGAAAATCAAAAGGAGATCTGTAGAGGAAAGGGACCGATGTTTGTATGAACATGTAACAAATCCTACCAGTATGTACCACTAAATATAGGGGAAAAAGAAATGGTCATGGGTCTAGAAGGAAACTGACTACCCAGGTAGAGACAAAATACAATATAACTCTTATTCTGTGAAGAGAAAACACTGTCAAATGTTTGTTTCATTTTGGAGGTACTGGGGACTGAACCCCAGGGTATTCTACTACTGAGCTATATCCCAAGTCCTATTTTATTTTATTTAAGACAGGGTCTCACTAAATTGTCCAATCTAGCACTGAACTTATTATCCTTCTGCCTCAGCATCCCAAGCAGCTGGGATTCCAGGCATGTACCACCGCACCTAGCTGAAAATATTGGTACTCAAACTTACTATTCACTTTACAAGGGACATTAGGCTTCCATTTTACTGTTCAAAATTCCCACCTGGCTAACTGGCTTAAATTTATAATGTAAAAAGACACTAATAGGGGCTGTGGCTGTGGCTCAGTGGCAGAGCACTTGCCTAGCACGTGTGAGGCACTGGGTTCAATCCTTAGCACCACATAAAAATAAAGGCATGCTATCCATCTACAACTATAAAAAGTTTTTTAAAAGATACTAATAAACTTAAATCATAAAAATAGGCACACATTTCCAATAAAAAAGTAAAGGCGTAAGACCAAAAATCAGAAGCAAGACAAGAAGCAAAACCAGAATGATGCAAATTTGCCTTAAGCTCTTCCGCACATGACCCAAACATCAATAATTAGGGCCTCATCACTAAGCATTTTCAGTGCAACATAAACGAGAGTTTAGGCAATTCAGAAATATATTATGATTAAGTCAAGCACAATAGCCCACATCTATAACGTCAGTGACTAGGGAGGCTGAGGCAGAAGGATCGGCAAGTTCAAGGCAAACCTCAGCAACTCAGGCCCTAAACAATACTTTGGCTCAAAATAAAAAATTAAAAAATAGATGAGGATATAGCTCAGTGGTAAAGCATCATTGGGTCCAATCCTTAGTACCCACCCCAAAATACATATATGTGTAAACGTGTGTGTGTGTATTTTTCTTTTCTTTTCTTTTTTTTTTTTTTAGTTAAAATCGGCTTAACCAATTCCACTTTGAAGCCTTTCTGTCTGGAAGACATGGAAAAAGTGCTCACATCCCTCAAGCTTTCACATCTAGCATCTGTCTTCACTCTGGTTGTTTATCAGAGGTCTTTCAAATCAGAAAAGCAAAGATACCAAACAACATTAATATTAAAAATTATTGCTTTGGAATTATTGGATGAATCTACATGGATGAATCTCAAAATAATGATACTGAGTAAAAGAAATCAGACCAAAACACTGAATAATTCCATTTATATAAAATTCTAGAAAATTCAGACAAATCTGAAAGCAGATCAGTGGTTGAATAGGTATAGGAGCAGGCGAAGAAGGGCTGGGAGGAAAAGATTTTAAGAGGGCATAAGAAAATGTTTGGGAGTAATGTTTTATGGGTGTTTACACATAATAAGACCCAACCAACTACACATTAATGTCTATACTTTTACTGTATACTAATTGCTTATACATCAATGATAATGTAAAAAGAAAACTAACCTGAGGAATTTCTATCAAAATCACTTTCCATATCCACAAAAGCTTTCTCTTCCTTAAAGCAGGTAATGTACAATCCAACAGTGCTATTTTGATTGCCCTCAAAGCCCATACCCTATATTGATGCTTTAGTATGTGTAATGATTATACCTACCTACTTCATATGAATTGTGATTTCTAGGCACTGTTTTAAGTGTATTATAGAGATAAGAATCTTAGAAGAAGATGAAAGAGGATGAAAATCAAACCAAAATCAAATAGGTGTCTAAAACCCAGTGAATTAAACTCTCATAACAGCATCTAATATTTATTTAGCAATCAAAGGTAATATATGCTGCAGATAATATCTGACCCATTCACAGATTTTTTTTTAAATGAGATTTTTTTCAACTGTATAAAGTCAAATAGCTCAAATAAAGGGGTTACTTCTTGATTACAGAGGTCTTCTGATTCCAAATCTAACAATTATATCAGGTTACCTCTTTCGTTTGGTTTAAACTTAAAAGAAATAAAAAACAAAACAACATACTAAAATATTTAGTTTTAAATATAGATCACTGAACATAAATGTTCTGATAGGTTTATCAAAACAGTCCATTTGTCACACCTTCACAGCTTCTATATCTGTGGCTATACAGTATATGTTTCAAAATATCACAAACCACACTAATGACAACATGTATTATCTGGCCCATTGTGGAAAAATGGGTCTAAAAATAAATTTTCAACCTTAAAATCATTTTTGAGTTACTTTGCCTGCCAAATCTACAAATTTTTTAATATTTATTTTTAATTGTAGTTGGATACAATACCTTTATTTTACTTATTTATTTTTATTTGGTGCTGAGGATCAAACCCAGGGCCCCCCATGTGCTACGCGAGCACTATATCACTGAGCCACAACCCTAGCCCCAAATCTACACAAATTTTCTAAGTGTTAAAAACTCTTCTTGGGCTGGGGATCTGGCTCAACTGGTAGCGCGCTTGCCTGGAGTGCGTGCGGCCCAGGTTCGATCCTCAGCACCACATACCAACAAAGATGTTGTGTCTGCCAAGAACTAAAAAATAAATATTAAAAATAAAATTCT